CAGAGTACTGAAAAAATTCTTAGAAGTAACTCCAGAGGTAGTTATGAGTTCATAGACTTGAATGTATTCTGCTCATGGAATTATATAATAATCTAGTTTTGTTCTATATTTTACTCCTTAAGGTATTTATATTTCAGAAGCCATTTTTGCTAACTTAACCATAGGAAAAATCCTCTATGGGTCAACTGTATAGCACATAGTCTCATTTCAAAGGACAAAGGGTTAACGGATTTAAATAGGGCCTAATAATTGTGAATGTTGGTTTAATGATGGTTAGTTTAGGGGATATGTATGAAGGTGATTCCTATGCCATATTGTTTTCAGTCTTGGCAAACATGGAGAGCTTGTTTGGTGGTGTTAAGTCCTGCTTCTTCTCCTTATATGTAGGTAAGATGTGAGGCCGCAGCTTGGGTTCCATTGGCATAAAAAAAGGATTGAAACATGAGTTGGGGAGCTAAGGTCTTTCCATCACCGAGAGCTTTCACAGACTGACTTGTGCCTTGAGAACACTCCCACTGAGCGAGCTACAATGGAGCCAGTTGTACAGCCTCATGGGCACAGGGGAGCCTGAGGAGGCCGTGGAGTGCTCTCCCTAGCCCAAGGGCATGTGCTTCCATCCCAGACAGGCAGCAGGCATGAAGATACTGGTTCATCATTTTTTATTTTATGTATATGAGTGTTTGCCCCATGTGTATGACTGGTATCCTTAGAGGTCAAAGAGGGCACCAGATCCCCTGGAACTGGAGTTACAGACAGCAGTGAGTAGGAATTGAACCCAGGTCCTCTGGAAGAGCAGCCAGTGCTCTTGGTCACTGAGCCATCTCTCCAGCCCCTTGTTAGGGGGTTAAAACAAATTGAGCTCTTTGTGAAAAGGGCTGGTGGAACTTTAGACTTAGCACTGAAAGTACAGTTTGACTTTTCCCCAAAGGTGGTGGGGTACCCTCCTCAGTGATCCTCAGCTTTCTCTTGCTATGTTTCAGAGTGCATACTTGTGCCCGGGCAGAGGTTGGAAACCCCCAGGGAATGTTTTCTAGCTAAGAACTGTGGGGTAGAAAAAAGCCACACGCTTTCTGTGAATAGGACTAAGAATGTTTCTACCATTGCCAGTGGTATTTTTAACCCAATGGTAGGGGAATAAGAGCTGTTACCTTCATTGTTTAAGAAAGACTTTTAATGTGTTTATCTGTGTACGCGCATATGAAGGTGGGCAACTCCTGAGACTTTACAGTGATCACTGTTGCTGTTAGAATCTAGTTTTACTAAAACTCTTCAGATAGGGGTTTTAAAGTAAGAAATGTACCAAACAAGTGCTCTTTATTCTCAGTTTATCTGTGATTTAGAATTCATTTCCAGTGATGAGCTGGTGGGCCATCTATGCGCTGGTGTTATGAAACTGAGATATGCCTCTCATATTTGTGAATCTATATCTGCAGTCTGGTTTTTGACATTGTGGGGCTTGGGACTTCACTTATTCATTTATTTGTGTGTGTGGGTATGGGTTTTCCTGCATGTGTCTATGCACCACATGTGAGGCCAGTGCCCGAGGCGGCCAGAGGAGGGTGTGGGATCCACTGGAACTGGAGTTACAGATGACAGTGAGCCGCTCTGTGTGTGTGTGTGTCCTCTGGAAGAGCGGCCAGGGCTCTTACCTTCTAAGTCTGGCTTTGGACATGTTGAGCCAAGTTTCTCTGGTTAAATATACTGTTTTATTAATTTATAATGAAATGATAACCAAGTGTGACCTTACATAGCAACCTGGAAACATCACAGTTAGACTGATAGGAAGTTAAAAGGCCTGTTTGCTTCATTAGCAGTCAGAAAATTCTAGACCAGGTTTTCAAATCCAGAATTCTATATAGTCGTTGGCCTTTTTATTTTGGTTTTATTAACATAAATACTTAGTATAATTACAAGCATAGATATTTTAATAGAGTCCTAGGACTCTGAACTTTTGCTTTCAATACCAAATAGTATCTGAAAAACATGCTCACTTTTGTGTTTTCGGAGAAACTCTAGGAACTGGCCCAGGTTCATGTGATAGTCATTCCTCAGTCCGTAGTCACCGTGGGCCTCGAGGAGCAACTCTTCGAAGGAATGGAAGAGGCGCAAGTCTTCACCGCTGCCTTCCGTCTCCACGCTCTCGGCGTGCTTGCAGGAAATGTGTTTCCAGTTGGGGTATCTGATTGTGTGCCAGAATTCCTCACAGTGATCCTTGAAGCCCTCCACACAGATTATACCAGGCTTTCCTGTCATGCAAAATCCAGTCACATCTAACCTCTTCCCCACTTCCAAAATCTTTTTCCTGAGGTCCTGCTGATATATGTGGTGGCTGTAGATCCACATTCTGAGGAATGTGTTCTTGACGGGCTTTGCCTGTGTGGACGGCTCCTCCGACAGCTTTCTGTTGAGGAAGTAGGACGCGCTGTTGTCCTGCAGCCACTGGATTGCTGCGCACACACACAGCTCACCCGGGTCAAAAGTCCCCAGATAAGCAGTGAGACCTTGGTTGAGAAGAAGCTGCTGTTGTCTGTCAAGCTCAGGTGACCGCCCAAACAGCTGCAAAGCCACGTACGGGTAGCTGTGAGGCATGGTAACTTGCAAATCAATTGTCACCTTAAAATAAAAAAAAAACCACACATTTAAATGACCACAAAACCACACGAGCCAGTTTATCATGGCAACTGTATGAGTATGATAGGAACAGTCATGTAGACTATCAAGTGCCAGCTGCAGACCAATCACTGCTGACCTACGTGTGCCTGGTGGGTGACCCGTGCTGGATAAGGGAGGGACGAAGTCAGACACGATTTCTGCCTTAGAATAGAGCCTAGTGAAGGAGACACACATTAAACAGTGACCACACATAGGAAGAGTTTAATTTTGAGAAGCAGCATTTACCATGGGAGAAGTTCAGGGTTCCACTGAAGTGTGTAATCAGTGAGATAAAAATCAAGTCTGGGGAAGCAGTCCAGCTGCTCTGAAGGAATGGTAATTGAAGGATGAGTCGGCGAGAGTGAGAGCCAACATTAGTTCTCAAGTGCCCCGTCCACATGGTGCCTACACTATGCTTTGCTAATATTCCTAGGAGCAAAGGGAACTGAAGATGGGAGTCCGTTTATAGTTAACATTATATTTTGTATTTGTAGTTACTATCCACAGTCAGTGCCATGGAAACAAAATCCTAAGCATTCATTGACTTCAGGGAAGCCCCTCTGTAGCAGGCAGCTTTCAGGTTTGTGAAAACCATGGTGTATGTAGAAGGCGCATTCTAACAGTTGGGTCGGTAAGAAACTGGATGAGAGGATGGAATAACAACGATAAGACTGCAAGGTATTTCCACTGAAATCAGTCGGCACGTCTGTTAAAAGGGGATGTGCGTTTATGTAAAAGTCAGGATAGTTAAGAGAACTTAAGGAGCATCTCGTGTTTGGAACCTTTTCCTTCCCAACAAGTAATGGGATATGTATTTGGGATTGTCTATTTGTCTCCTGGATAGGAAGCTTATGCACTGGGTTTTTCTGTTAAAAACTGGGCACTTGGGGGGTGGAGATGGCTCAGCCGTCCAGAGCACTGGCTGCTCTTCTAGAGGGCACAGGTTCGATTCCAAGTACTCACAAGGTGTCTCACAAATTTCTGTACCTCCAGGTCTGCCCTCCTCTGGCCTCTGAAGGCACTGCATGCACAAGGTTCACAGGCGTACAAAACACTCATACACATTAAAATACAAAAAAAGTGGGTACCCAGAAACACTTAGAACAAATAAAAGCACCCACCTTGGGCTCCTCAATTTGGAGCGTGATCACAAATTCGATGTTGTGTGGGAGCGCCTCCCTAGTGCCTTCCAGGTACCGCTTTATGTTAGTTAGGGCGTTTACGTCTTCAAGTTTTACTTCTCCTTGGTTAGGAAACATAGAAAACAGCATTTCCATCTCCAGCAGCTGAAGCTGAAGGCTTTCTTTTACCGACGCTGACATGTCTCCAAATCAACCTGCTTGGAAACCTGGAAAGGCCCATAAACAGTGGGTTTGTTAATGACATCTGGTGTCCAGGAAATTTTCCCAAGGTCCCTTTTCTAGGAGGCATTTCCACCGTTTGCTGAGAGCTAGGGGCACACACACACAGACACTTAAACTGTTTAGATTTATCTCCTGAGCCCCAAATCTAGTATGCACAACATTCTTTTAAAATGCTCCGTCAAAAACCTAGATTTCCTAGTCTCTCTTCCGCACCCTGACCGGCCGGCCATTCAGGAGTCTGAGCTTTCAACAAGTGTTTGGGAGACACGTTCCGCGGCAGGCAGGTGGTTGCAAACACCTGTACCTCCCCGGCCAGGCCAGCCTCAATCCCGAGAAAAGCAGGGGCCGGCCCTGGAATCCCACTCGGATCTCAGGCCTGCACAGAGCTGGAGGCGGCGAGGAGGGATGCCTGCGGAACGGAGAGGAGGGCTCTGGGTCGCCCCTGCCGCCAGCCGCCAGCCCTCCTCCGCAGACCCCTTGGAGGACAGCCTCCCCGGACTGCAGTGGCGTGCTGCATCTCGCGCAGGTGCATAAGGCCGCCTCGGCCTAGCCAGGGAGCTGGGGGAGGGGTCTGTCACTTAATAAAATGACGCCTAGGGTCGAGGGGGGTGAGGACCCACGGGGATGGTGCTGCCCTCGCCTTCCAGAGGCTGGGCTGGGAGGTGACCTCGGTGGTCGGAGGGACATCAGTGCGCCCCCCCTCTGGGGACCCCGGCCTCCCGAGGTCCAGGCTGGGAGGCGCAGCTGCCCACCCCGGGTGCTAACCCTCGGCCCGCCTGGGCCGCCGCGGCCTCACCCTTCCAGCTCATTCAAAGCCAAGCAGCCCCCGACCCCGCTTCGAACCGCAGCCGCAGTTCCGCGGGCGCGAGCAGCGCGCGGACGGCCAGGGGCGGGGCTTGGCGCATGGGGCGGGGCCAGAACATCCTATCCGCTGCGATTGGCTGCGGCGGGGGCCGGGAACAGGGGCGGGGACATCTTGGCCGAGGGGCGGGGCGTCGGGCCGGAAGCCAGGCTGGGCCACGTCTTCAAGCTTTGAGTGAGCTCGTTTGGTACGCACTGCACGGTGGCTGGCTGCTCTGCTGTGGAGAGGACGTTCCAGCTCCAGAACTAGGTGAGCGGGTTTGTAGGCTGTGGGGCCGTTGTGGGTGGGGGATCCTCGGCAGCCGTGGCTGGGCATGGCCGCCAGACACACCTACCCACCGCTCAGTGCGGCCCAGGTCCTTGCAGACCTCACACTGGAGTGCGGGGGAAGCCGCGGGTAATCGGGAGCTGGGAGCAGAATATACCACCGGAGGAAAGGAAGAAGCGGGCTACGCTGTTTCACTTTTGAAGAGAGAAAGCTGTTGGGACTTTTAATAAGCATTCCCATACCCATTGAAATTAGTTCTAGAACTCCCGACGCATTAAAGGGTGGAAGCGTGCTGTTATATGACTGTTATTTTCCTTTCAGACAGTTTGGGATCTCATAGGAGTGGTTGACACCCTTATGAATAATCGTGATACATTTCCTACTGGTCAGTTTTTACAAAAATATATTCGTCGTTATAAACAAAAGTTTACTTTGGAGCGAACTAAGTTATCTTGGGAATAACCGATTTTTACAAATTGGACAAAAGCAAACATTTTCCTGAATTGAATCAAGGAAGGACAATAAAACAAGGAGGTGTGGCTGTTAGCTGAAGGACAGCTGCTTCTCTCTGGGCTAGCTAGGATAGAATTGACCCAGGAAGTTCACAACCTATGGCTCTGCAAGGACCTTGCTGGCTGAGGCAGAAAATCTCGAATTGAATTAATTGGAGGTGCCCCAGAGTACTAGGGGGATTAGGGTTCACGAAGGCAGCGTTATGCAGATGTGAGTAGGTTTAGACATGAATTTAGAAAACTACTGTCTTCTTGTCTTTGTGAATAAATTGGAGTCTTCTGTGAGATGCCCTAGCTGATCTGGGAGGTCTTAGACAGGAGGAAATGACTGTGATTTGCTTTTCCTTTGGGACTTACTGTTTCTCTCTAGTGAATGAGTCCCATGCATTTCCCAGGTATTTGGTGGTACTCAGCTTTTAGTGGATCTGACCTTCAGCTCAGTCTTTCACTGGCCTCACCCCAGACTTTATTAACTAGGGCCTACACCTAAGTTGACCCCTTTGTAAGATAAGATGATCTTTGATCTTCTAGGAGTCTCTGAATAGAGATGTGAGGTCATTATTTAAGGAAAGTTCATCCTGGAGGCCAAGTGGGAAAGAAGTGGACCAGCTGGTTTCTGTCTTGACTCTGCTCTGGAGTACACAGTTTAGGCAGGAGCCTCTAGTTAATTCTAACTCTGGGAGTTCCTCTCTCCCTCCCTCCCTCTCTCTCTGTCTTTCTCCCTCTCCCCCTCTTCCCCCCCCCCTCTCTCTTTCTCTCGAGACAGGGTTTCCCTATGAAACAGTCCTGGCTGTCCTGGAACTCAAGCTGTAGACCTGCTTGCCTCTGCCTCCAGAGTGCTGGGATTAAAGGCATAGGCCACCACTGCTGGACTACCTTTTTCTCTTCTTTGTTCCCTTCTCCCACCCCCCCTCCCCCCACACCCATGATTCTTTGGAGAGGGTCCCAGTGAAATAAATGTGTTATGTTGAGGTGGCAGTTTGGAAGCAAATGGTCCTTGAAAGCTTTTTCTTTCTATTTCTTACTTTTGCAGACATGGATCTGGAGGCTGTTTCTAAACGCTCAGCATTCCATGCCAAGCCCCAGGGGCTCATTCTCCAGTATGGGACTGCTGGATTTCGGACAAACGCCCAACATCTCGATCATATCATGTTTCGAATGGGATTACTAGCCGTCCTGAGGTCAAAGCAGACAAGAGCCACCATTGGAGTCATGGTTACGGCCTCACACAATCCCGAGGTAACAAGTTGGTGCCCTTATTTACAAGGCTAATCTCTAGTGTCTGAGCACTTTGAGCCGAAGTCCACATTCCAATGCTGGGAGCGTGCCTCCTTATTTGTGTGCTCCTTGTTTGGAACAACTCTTGGAACAGCCGTCCAGCTGAGCTGGGTGTGGAGGGAATGAAATGAGGCTGTGTTTTGGTGAGTGTCCAGATTAGAGAAATAACAGACCATCCTTCCCAGTTTGGATGGAGACATTATCAGTATTGATCGTGTCACAAGGAACAGAAGAGGTAATGCAAGGGAAACAGCGGCCGGTGCCTGGCATTGGTGCCAGTGGTACCCAGGGCAGCTGCTCAGCCATCAGTCGGAGGAGTGAAGTAAAGGTTCTTCCTCCAGTCACCTCCATTGTGTGCTCCCCTTAAGGCTTGTTTCTCTTTTAGGAAGACAACGGCGTGAAATTGATTGATCCGTTGGGGGAAATGTTGGCCCCTTCCTGGGAGGAGCATGCTACCTGTCTGGCCAGTGCTGAGGAGCAGGAGATGCCTAGAGTGCTTGCCGCCATCATGGAGAAAGAAGCTGTGGATCCGCAGCAGGCTGCCTTCGTAGTTATTGGTAGAGACACCAGGTGAGGATCAGAGTTGCCTGTGCAAGGGCAGATAACTGTGAGGGATCGTACCTGTTTTCATGCCCAAGGCCAGTGGGCAGGAGTAAGAGAGGCTTAGTCCACACCCCGCTGACTTTTGGCCTTTTTAAGTGGCACATGGTGACTAAGTCTGGGTTTGGAGTCACCCCCTGTAGCATGAATCTTAAAAGTTCTTATTAATAAAATCAAACCCGAGGCCAGTTATTGGGGTGAATACTGGAAGGTCAGAGAGACAGAACAAGCCACAGCTATCTCACCTTGCCAGTTCCTCAGCTGGTCCTGTTTCCTCAGACTGGAAGCCT